CAAGTTATCTAACCTTTCCGGGGCACAGAATGTTCTGCTTCAAAGATAAAGGAGAATGAAACAGATAGATGATAAGCAACTACCGTAATTGCCCACAAGGGAGAATGTGAAAGAGTTTGAAATACAAATACAGATACCTGAATACCAACAAATTTTTGAAAATATGCAATCCACCCAAATCATACAAAGTCATTATTGATCGTGGTGCTACATTACAAAGGCACAGAAGCCAGTTCAGACCAATTTATAACTTACCAATCACGCATGAAAAGGTAGTTAAAGAATGCTCTGATGATGTTGATTGTGTCGTAATGTGGAGTGAAAAGAACCAGAAGTAAGACTAAGTTGTGAAACAAATGAAACAGAGAACAATACATACCTTTCCAGAAAGAGATATAATCACCAGATTAGGTCAAGTTACCAAACCTCCAAAGCATTACATTCAATTTGAAATGAAGTCTTGTAGACTCTGTTTTAGCTGTTTGCATAATTATCAATAGACAACATATGTCTATGAACAACTGTAGCAGCTTCATGGCTGCTAAAACACATGTAAGATTGCCAACTTGGCCAAACAGCAGGGATGCTGGGTATGGGACACATTGGCTAAGTAAAGCTCTGCAAATTGCAAACTCAGAAATTAGATACAGTGCAAACATAGCAGCCAAGTGCTAATGACATTAGCATCATCTAAAAGGACACATCTCGTCAACTGTCAAGGTGGACAGTCATATCCTCAACAACATATCAACCAAACAAAGTAAGAGTGCATATTTTCAACCAAAAACCAGACAGAAAGACACTCAGGCCCCGCTACACAAAGAAATAAACATATGCAAGATATCCAAAAGACTGACAATGTTTCAAACCAATAAGCAAGTTTCCCTGATCGGCCAGAACTGTAGAAAGTTCCAGAAACCAATCCAAAAATGTATAAGAACAGGACTTATCTGCAGATGGATCTCTTGAACCCTCTGGAGACAAAGAGACAACCAGCGTGGCAGAGGCAACGACCGACAAACTGCCCGGAATGTGACAGAAAGAGAATAACAACTTCACAAACCTGACTAAAGTTACAAGCGACTCTGGAAAGTATTGTAATGACTAAGGGGATAGGGCAGGATTAGGAATAATATTGTTAGTATTAAAGTCTTGCTGTTACTTATTCCTTAGTAAAGTTGTGACAGTTTGCGTCGTTATGAACTTTGAGTCTATAATAATATGATCATTCTGGTATTGTGGGATACCTGAGTAAATTCATTTATAACTTATTCGTTTAAGTGTCTGATGGGTCCTAATGGACTTGGTACTACAACCATGTACATCTAATTGGGATTTTCTTGTGTTTGGCAAAAGGGAGATATGTTGCATCTGATAGTGAGTATATCTTTAAGAGACATGCTCGTAGCACCATTATTGTATCATAACATGTGACCTGGCAGGATAAAGATCACATAATATGGTAACTCACATCACTTGAAGCATGAGATGCTAATAAACCTATGCTGTTCTTCGTACCTACTAACTTAATGAAAGCCCAGACACACTCTCTCTCCCTGCCTTACATTATTTTATTATTACACTTATACATCTAACAGAGAACGATATATTGTCTAACTTCGGTCCCGCAAAAGGAGCTTCATCAAGACAGTACATTAAAAATTCCAACATGTGCTGTTAATGGGTGGAATATCTATCTCTGAAGTTCATTTACCAGAAATTGTTCGCTAGAACTATCTGGGCCACAATCTTTTCATTCAGTGGTGCTGATTGGTTAAGCAGTGAAACATATGCTTCTTTAAAATGGGAGTGAGCAAGTCACTTTTCTCCTCATAAAAGGTAAAAGATCTCTTAGCAAATCTCATTTCAGCAATCCAACCAAGAAACCCGGTATATTTTGATTTTTTAAAATTTCTGGACAGTACTGTTTCCATTGAAGTGATTTTCAAAAATAAACAGTTTTTTGCAACTGTTCTCTGATCACAAATACACATACTGGTTCTCCAATGATTAAGGGATGTGCCAAATGCATTAATTTAGTTTATGCATTGCTTCAGAACTATTTATCGAAGTAAAGTTATGAATTATCTGCTGTGTTTGCTTTTGATCTTGCAGGTATTCCCAAGACTGTAACAACAAAAAAGAAATTTAAATAGCAGAGAAATACTAAAAAGTCTGATCTGTTGTGGAATTCAGCCCGAGGTCCAAAACTAATTTCTGGTAGCTTATTGATGGACCAGAATGGTAATGATTTAATTTGTCGATAAATGAAATTAGACTGAGTTGAAGAAAAATATTAACAATGCAATGGATTGAAAAAGATTGTAGAATTGTTGGAGGAGAGGAAATAGGTATTTATAAAGTAACACAGTCATAGACTTTCCATCCCTTACCTTATAGGACATACTGAGACACATTGAAAGGGAAAAGAACAGATCTGGCTGGGCTCCAGGAAGCCTGGATCTCCCTATAGAGGAGACGTCTATTCATATTATTCAGCTAGTTGCAAAGTGGTTGCTGACATCTAGTCTATACCTAAGAATATTGATGATAATGGTATGCTTCTGACTTATGTATCTTTCTAGTTTCCATCTCAGCTTCATCCTGTTATCTGCTCTGATGATTAAGCTGCGGATGGTGTGACCATGGACCTCTTGCTTCCCAACCCCACTTTGCACAGACCAACACTTCCTTCTGAGTTCCTGTTTTTGTCACTAGATATTAGCTTGGAAGTTAGCATTGAGTTGGGAATAGCATTTATTGAGTCATGCAGGTTTGAATGGACAGTAGCCAGGCCAGGGGCAAAGGATGATTTGTTTTGCCAGCGTGGATAAAATTGCAGACAAATTCTGCTGCATTGAGTATCTTGATGGGGTGACATATAGGATTGAGCTAATAGGAAAGCCCATCAGGATGCAGAGTACATTGGCCAGCCTGCTAGGCAGCTTGCTGTCACTGTTAAGGGCCATACAGCAATTTGGCTCCAAGTTGGCAGAGAAAATGGCACAGACTTTTTAAGGCTTTCTGCAGTTTCTGTTTTGTCTTCCTATCATGATACAGATCCAAAAGCACTGGCACAGCAGCCTGTGTATCTGTTGCAGCCAACTATTTAAGATGTTCATTAAAGCTGATCTCGTTGAGTATCTCCTAATACTCCCTTTTATGACCAAATAACTAATATTGTTCAAAATTGCATCAATGAAACGTCTTGGGACAACTCACCACATTACCAGTGCTGTATAGGTACATGTTATATTTGGATATGGCTATTGAATGGGTCTTGAATTTGTAAAATATTTTCTTGGACCTATTTTCTACAGTTCAGAACCTAGGCTGAAGTGAAATAAGGATCTTTGTTCAAGATATCCTGATTTGGGTGCAACTGGTGATTCCAATGCAATATATGTTCAAAATTATCCCCCCTTCTGTAAAGTGTACTTTTCCATCAATGTCAACTGAAAATCTTATGTTCATGCTGACAAAGGATCTGAAAGGACCTGGGCACTACCTCCAAAAATCAGAATAGCCCAACTTTTAATCCTTTACATTCATATGTATTTGAATAGAAACTGTATTTCAAGATAATGGTGAGAAACAAAACATGCTAAAAGTTGCATATCATTTCCTGTATTACACAAAGAAAGTTTGACTTGACAAAGCACCCCACAAGCATGCAAAACAACAAATGCTGGAGATGACAGTGGGTAAAGCAACCTGACCAGATGTGATCTCCAGCATTTGTTGTTTTGAATGCAGATTCCAGCATCTGCAGTAATTTGCTGCTACTACAAGCATTCATGCTGTTTCACATTAGTTTCTTGATCACATAGGATTGAATATGGCTGAAAAGGGAGACAT